AGGATTCGACTCAAGAGGCCTGCTCGTCACGTCTTTAGAAGATGGCCATAGCTCTTCAGCATTACCGACACTTAAGTCCCCAAATATTGGGTCATTGTTGCTGCAAGATATCACTTGTGAGGATAACCATGTCAGATTGACATATTGTTTTTAGGCACTTTAGGACCCTCGGCCTCATGCTATCAATGAAGCTAACTTTGTGAATTTTACCTAAATATCCTGTCTAGATCATCGAAACTTCCTATATTTGCCCACCCATAGTCAACAAAGTCGCCGTCTTCTCGTTCTTCCGCTGGATTTTCAAATATTCCCGAATCCTTATCCAATTGCGCCATCTCATCTGTGAGAGACAACAAAGTAGACCGATACACAACATGAGGAATTAACATTTGCGAACGAAAACATGTTTTGGAGGAGAATTTGGGTGCATTCACCTGGTACGGAGCTCTTTTTGGGGCTTGTTGATTTGCCATTTGAGGCAGAAGCTCTTGTAGAATCATCAGATTCGGGCTTGGCAGTATGTTTCTTCGGTTCAAGCGGGCTAATAATAGTCGAAGATTGGTGATTAGATTCTTTCCCGTATAGCACTGCGGGTTTCTCTTCGATTTGATCAGGATACGGAACAATGTGATCATCACTTTCTCCACCATCACCCCATATGATATTTGTTAACTGAAATATAACAAAACACCAGTCTTAAATTTGCCACAAATGGAGATGCTAACATTTCAACAATGACTCCATACTACTCGACTAGTATCCGGTCACCAAAACCGAGATCGACAGGATTAACCATTTAACGAATGAATTCTGCTTGTTAATGTCCATATACAGTACAACGTCCAGCAAGAAAAATTAAGACAACCCAGCAAGAAAATTAAGACAACCCAGCAAGAAAAATTAGGACAAACAGTCAAATTAGAGTGATTTAAACCAGATACCATACCTCCTCGTCGTTCCAATCAAACATAGCTAGAAAACCAAGAAAAGAGCAAATCCCAAAATCCAAACAAACGCAGCTTCGAAAAGTATTGCTTCTCAAACATCGCCAAACACTTTCCGCTCAAGTTTTCTCCAAGAACAAGCACCAAAAGCAGAACAACGACAGCATTTAATCAAGAAATTTCAAATTAACTGCACAGTTCTAAAGGGTTTTTGTTTGGGACATGAAAACAGTGAAAAAAAAGAGGAGGAAGAGAGAGATTGTGTGTGTGTGTGAGAGAGAGAGAGGATTGGGGGTGGTTTGGTGGCGGTGGATTACCGAGCAAGTGGGGCCCGCCGGAGATGTGTTTTCAGGGTTGAAATTCAGACGCGTGGTCAGGTTTCGTATCTAAACTGGTGGCTATGGGTATCGGATCATTTCCTGCAAACTGATTGGCCAGGATTTGTTTTAAGGACCATATTACACAAATACCCCTATTTCCATTAGGTACCCCTGATTTTAACTTCATCATTGTAGTCACCCGTGTATGTAAAATCCATAAGTTTTGTCCAAAATTGTTAGTTGATCGTGAGTCTAATACGGTCATCTTCTCCAACCGGTTGCCTCATCTGCACCACCAGATACAAAAATGGTGGGTGCATCTCCCATTACAGCACAACCAAAGCAAGGAAAAAATAAAAAAAGAAAAAGATCTTGTACCATGAGTAGTTAAAAAAGAAGTTGGAACTCCGAGATTAATGGTGATGACTTGCAATTGTGGACTAAAAGTGTATTTGAAGACCTCTTGGTCTCGAAATAATGTGGGAAGAACATATTGGGCATGCTCTAAATATGGAGTAATATTTTTTTTTTTTTTAAAAAAAATTGGCTAATGTAACAAGCATTTCTAAAAAAATTGTAGAATTTTGGTTATTGTGGATTTTTTATATGGTTCAATTCTGAAATTTGTGAAAGAGAAAATGATATTATATCCAGTTTGCTGGAAAAATTAAATAAACATCAAGCTCAAATTGAGCAATACAAGTTGAATGATATTGAGATCGAAGCTCAGTTATTGATGGCAACTAGAATTGGTCATGTGTACATGCACAAATGCAAATAAAATTATATATATATATATATATATGTTTGTGTAATAATTAAAATCATAAGTTAGATAATGATCATATCACATTTTATTTATTTTAACATTAGTGAAAATTAATGATAGAAATAAAAATGTTTAACTTAAATATTAGTCTTTATATTAATCACAATAATATAATTTTTGCAATCTTGGTTGATTATTATCAATTAATTAAATACAACGACATTAGAATTAATTATTATAGCAATTGTGTACGAAATTTTAAGGAGTTTGGTTATGTCAGAAAAAATAAATTAACTAATTTTAATAAAAAAATTGTAGTTAACTTAAAAGAAATAATAGTTTAAATAAATAGTTTGAAAAAAAGTTTTGGAATAGAATAAAATTTAAGAGCATGTTTGTTTATGAAATATTTTGGGTTTGTTTGGATTTTTTTGTTTGGTTTGGTTAATTTTAAAAAGGTGGTATGGTTAGTTGTTAGTGGATATATTAAAATAATATTTAAAATAAAATAATTAAAATTAAGTTGATGTAAAAGTAGGAGAGAGGAGATGTGATGTGATGATTAGTTAAAATTATGTGAGTAGATTAATAGTGAATTAAGGTTGATGTGGTGTGTATGAATGATTGATTGATATTATTTAATTATATTGATAATATTGATAATAGTGGTGTGGAGTTAAAGTTGAGTTAAAAAAATGGTTGAGTTAAAATGTTGGAAATTTTTTGAAAAATTTTATAAACAAACATGCTCAAGTAACTTTATGATTAGTTAGTAGTGTATTAAGAATAAATAAATAAAAATATAATTATTTTATTAATGCAACAATAATTAAAGTGCCAATTGATTACTTATTCTCTGTTTAAGGCAGTGGGTTGTTGATCGAACTGCAAGAAAGCTCGACAGGAGTTGTCTGCGCAATCGAGGTGTTGCCATCTTCAGTTGTTTTTTCTCTTACGAGAGTTCGGTAGAATGTTCTTCAAGAGGTTGGAAGACGAGCTCTTGGTAGGAGGCGGAGGAAAGCGAGAAGTGCTGGCATCAACGGGTTGGGTGCGAGCTTTTTTCTTCTTGGTCTCGGTCTGCTTGGTGGAGATAGCACCTGACAATTGACATGAGTTTCTTTGCAAAAAAAAGACAAAGGAATAAGCACATATGTTCAAGTATAATATGATTACGTATAAACAAAATATACAACAGTTAACTGCTATACCTAAATAAATGGGGCGACCTTGTAGGTTAACCCATAAAGAAAACGAAGCTCGTTAGGAGAGGTGAGTTTCTCTATATTGTAGAGGACCTTGTTCCACTCGATCACGAGCTCGTCCAACCGAGCTACTTCCTAGGTCGCCGTTTTTTAGGAACCTCGGTGAGCCGCTCCGAGCTGAAGTTGAAAGTACCTTTGGGGGACTTGAGAAAGAAAAAATGGGTCTTCCAATGGCCGATCTTAGTGGAAAGCTCCCTAAGGAAATTAGCTTAATTTCGAGCACTAAGGTAATACGACCCACTTTGATGGTCCTTAAGACCGTAACAATTAAAAAAAAGAATTCGGGGTCTAATTTTTTAAAATAATAATGACTAAGAATAGTATAACACACTAAGAGACGAATACTATTAGGGGTGAGTTGGTTAATAGGAAAATCATATAGCTCGGTTAGAGCGAGAAAATCAGGGTCGATGGGAAACCGAAGACCATTGGCTACTTGGTCGACAAAGAATGTATAGAACCAGGGGGGAGGCCAGTTATACGAGCTACCCGGAGAAGGCGCTTGAAACACCCAATCGGGCGGTAGCTCGCACAATCTCATAAAAGCTTTGATTTAAGGCCCTCGGCGTAAAAGAAAGAGTTAGGCCGGGCAACTACTTCAACATTAAAGGCTAGTTTTATTGCAGGGTTAACAGTATGGTCTACACCTACAGTTATGCTCGCCTGAAGAGCATGTAGCTCGGATGAGGGTGAGGGGATGCCTTGAGGAGGGTCATAGATTAAGGAAAGCGAGCTATTATCTACTATATTAGTTAGAGAGTCCCAAGGAATATCACCATCGACTTCATCACGAAGTTGTAAGGTGGATCTAAGGGGCGTAGCTTGAGTAGGGGTATCTGGGTGA